TTTCGAAGAAGGTGTGCGGTGTAGACGGGTGCAAGTCAAGACACCACCCCCGGCTACACATTAAGCGCAACGGATCTGCAACAGGTGCTGAAAACTTTCAAAATCCGGTAAGCGCCCACCAATCACAAGCCGAGGAAAGCTCACAACTGTTTCGCATCGTACCAGTTAAGCTGTATAATGGTGAGAAAAACATAGAAGTATATGCCTTTTTGGACGAAGGTTCATCGGTCACGCTAATTGACCAACGGATATTCAATGAATTAAAGCTTAAGGGCACACCAGATCCGCTTTGCCTGCGCTGGACCAACGAAACTACGAGGACCGAGAAAAAATCGGTTCGCGGATCGATGCAAATATCAGCAGTCGGCAGTAGTCGTAAGTTTTGGCTCAATGACGTGCACACCGTCGCCAACCTGTCCCTCCCGCGGCAAACGGTCAATATCAGCATATTAAAACAAAGGTACAACCACTTGCTGGGCGTACCGATATCTTCGTACACGAATGCAAGTCCGGTTATACTCATTGGTATCAATAATTGGAAACTGGCAGTTCCTCGGAAATTGCGAGAAGGGAAGTGGCGTGAACCAATTGCAACTAAATGCATTTTGGGCTGGTCAATACAGGGTGCCAGCGGGAAGTCTGAAAGGGCATTTGCCAACGTACACAACTGTTCATGCGACTGGGAAGAGATACACGAGGCAGTGAAAAACAGTTTTGATCTAGAAACTGTCGCACCAAGAAACATGACGTCCAGCGAAGAGGCCAAATCTATCGACATTTTGAAAAATACGTGCCAAAAGGTCGGTGATAAATATGAAGTCGGTCTATTATGGAAAAGTGATCAAGTGAGTATGCCAAATAGTTATCCAGCGGCATTGAAACGTGCAAAGGCTTTAAAAGCTAAAATGCAAAGCGATGCGGTGCTCAGAGCAACTGTTCACGAGCGAATCGGCAATTTACTATCTAAGGGCTACGCCAGAGAGGTATCCGAAGCAGAGTTATTTGCTGAAAATGGTCGCGTGTGGTATCTGCCAATCTTCGTAGCATTAAACCCAAATAAGCCTAAAAAGGCGCGCCTGGTGTGGGATGCTGCCGCAAAGGCAAACGGACACTCTCTCAATGATTTTCTGATGACCGGTCCCGACCTACTGAAACCGCTCATCGACGTTCTAATGGCTTTTCGAGTAGGCAAAGTGGCTATATGCGGTGACATCGCTGAGATGTTTCACCGAATTAACATCAGAAAGGACGATATGCACGTACAGCGATTTTTGTGGTGGCCAAACAGCGAAGAGGATGACCCAACAATTTTCGTCATGCAGGCGATGACGTTTGGTATTCGGTGTGCCCCTTGTATAGCACACTACGTGCGCAATACGAATGCTGAATCGTTCGAGCATAAGTATCCACGGGCGTGCGAAGCCATAAAAGAAGCACACTATGTCGACGACTTTATCGACTCAATGGATAACGAAGATGAAGTTCGGGCGTTAGCTGACGAGGTTCGCACCATTCATGCAGCTGGTGGCTTTGCTATACGAAACTGGGCCTCCAACTCGGCTGAGGTCGTGAGATCCCTTCAACTTACGTGTGATGAAATTCAAGCGCCTGTCACACTCGGCGATTCAGAAAAAGTTCTTGGTATGTATTGGGACCCCAACAAAGATGTTTTTAAGTACACTTTCAGATTTGCAAGACTAAAAAGAGATGTTCTTCGCGATGATGTCATACCGACTAAGCGGGAAACTCTTCAGGTACTGATGTCCATATTTGATCCCCTGGGCCTTTTAGCACCGTATACGATCAGCCTAAACGATCTGCTGCAACGAGTGTGGCAACTGGGCTGCGGCTGGGATGATGAACTGCCACCGAAACTTCATCCGGCGTGGCATCAGTGGAAAACAGTACTGCTACACATTTCGAGTATTGAAATATCCCGATGTTATTCTCGTCTACTCCAAGACGCATCAAATATACAAATCCATACATTTGTAGACGCCAGTGAAGCCGCGTATGCCGCCGCTTGTTACCTACGCGTTCAGTGTGGTGATGACGTTACAGTTTCACTCGTCGCGGCCAAGTCGAAGGTCGCACCACTCAAGCCGTTATCTATACCCAGGCTCGAACTCCAGGCCGCCGTGATCGGTGCTCGACTTACACAGAAGGTCAAGGGCACCCGCAATTTAACTACACACAGCTGTTTTTATTGGTCAGACTCGAAAACAGTTCTGCGATGGCTGAAAATGGACCCACGAGGATTCAATCAATATGTTATGCATCGTATTGGAGAACTGCTCGAAACTACAGATGCCGGCCAATGGCGGTGGGTACCTTCAAAATCCAATGCAGCGGACCTTTCCACAAAAATTCACAAAAAAATTGATAGCCAAATGTGGCTCTGTGG